TTTTCTGACTTTAAGCCATACAATATCCCCTTGTTCTGTTTGAATTACTGCTTCTTGGTCTATGTAGATTCCTTATGAGCAAAATTAAATGTTCTGGAATTTCCATTCTTCGTTATTTGTAATCCAAAATCACGTGCATTTAAAAAGTCAATAAGACACAAGTAAACATCTTTTGCTGTTATGTTACTGTTCTCTGCTTTTTGCCAAGTTACATCTGATAGACCACTGATATCACTCATTCCATGACCTCTTTTGAATCCATCTTTATTTTCTGAAAGTTTGCTGTCATAATACTCCCTCAACCATTTTTTTTCACATTACAGATTTATTTTTATAAAACACATTTATTTTTACATTTTTTTGACATTTAGAGAATTAAATACTTATATAACGATTAAATTTAACCATAAAGATTTTATTTTTTTGTTTTAATTAATTGCTATTGATCTATGTCTGTTATCACTTCATCTTTTCAAATGTCCATTGACTATTTCATATCCTTTAATCCTATTCCATAATGATACTCTTATAGTCCTTAGAGAGTTGCAATGCTGATTTAAAGGAGGATGCTCTCTGGCAGTGAAATTCCCCTGTACCTCCACAGGAGAAAGATGTGCAGTCTCACTTTTTCTAAAATTTGCAGCCACTGAAAACTCATTGGACGATCAACTATGAATCTGTTCTAACCTTACTCCAGCCATTTTTAAATGATCTTCAGTAAGATTTTACCTGAATGTGATAATTAATGATATTATTTTGTCTTCATTTTGTTGGATTTTTTTTAATTGTCACATATATGAATCTCTTTTAATCATTTGGCCAGGGAGCTGTCTTTCAAATTGTTTAGCATTGACAAGTGAGCACTTCCAGGACTTCATCTGTTTCTTTCAGCATCTTTTTTTTTTAAATTTTATTAATTTTAATGAACATTTACAGAGAGTTTGGGTTTCCATTCATTAATTGTTGCACTATTTTCTCTACCCTCCCCCCAGTTCGTTCCTCTTGCCTCTCCCCCCCTAAAGTCTGTTTTAATTGTCCCATTGCCACAGTGCTTGTCAAAGCCAGTTCTGATTAATCTCCTTTGTCAGTGTGTCCTTTGCCATTCCCTGTCGCTCCTCCCTTAGAGAGACTTCACCCTGATTCATAAGAAAAAGGGAACGGCGTATTCTCTTAGCTACTTCCTGCTGAAAAGTGATGCTGTAGGTTTCAGGGTGAAGATCTTCTCTCACTACTCTAAAGGGCACTTTTGGCAGTAGGAAACACGTAGACTATTGTGGAGATTGATTTTGGAATGTAGATGCACTGTTATCAGTTGTGCTTAGCCGTACATGTTCATATCCTTGAAGATGTATCATGGAAGTGTTGCAGCCTAGAAGACACAAATTTAAGTAATAAGTTAAAAGTACACAAGTCAAAATTAAAAAGCAATAATATTCCACATAGTGGTTCAAAAAGTGGCGCAAATCAAGTTGCAAAGGGAAGGTAGTTCTTACAATAAAAGGCCTATTGGCTAACACTTTGTCTATTATAGCATAAAGGTTAGGAACCACAAGATGTAGAGGCTCAGCTATGTCATTTATTGTTCTTAAGTCCTGGAGCAAATTCCATCTACCACCGGGTTGTTTGTTTCAACATCTTAATTGGCCTTCATTTTCTGAAGCCTTATTTTTCGCCAATACCTGCAGTAATGCTTGGACTTTTCCCTTCATTATTACTGGTTTTTATTCATTTGCAACCCCCTGAAATGATTGAACTTCGTTCTATTCTTACAGTGTCTCTGTGTATACCATCAGTCTTCTTTCTATGTTTCCTGCATCATTCAATATTTTGTCCATAGAATCTTTCAGTATTAGAACTTGAGACTTAGATCTTCAATTATTTCTGCTTAAGAAATGCCAAGCTCATTCTCCCCTTTTTGTTTTCTAACTTCAGATCTTTGCACATTTCCTTATAATGCTTTACTTCGTTATTTTGAACTATCCTTTGGAATTTTATGCTCAATTCTCTTACAAAAAAAATTATGATTTTTTTTTCCTTTTTTTTTAAGCTTCTCTCCATTCTAGTGCAAGTTTTATAGTCTGTTTTGAAATTCGTCTTGACCTCATCAGTTTCTCCTCATCTCTTACTTTCCTTTGTATATGGCATAGAATTCTTTTTAAATCCAGGCTAGTTACCTTACAGAATCCACACATTAATGTCACTGTTTCATTATTATTACATTCAGGTAATTTCTAACATAACCCTGAAGAAAATGGAAATCCTGAACACTTGATTGTACTTATGTGAAACCTGTGCTTGAACCAGGAAGCAGTCCTCAGAACAGAGCAAGGAAACACTGAATGGTTCAAATACAAGAAAGGAGTGCATAAGGATGCACTCTGTCTCCATACCTTTGCAATCTATATGCAGAACAGATCATTTGGGAAACTGGGCTTTATGAGGAGGAACGTGGCATCAGGATTGGAGGAAGATTCATCAACAATCTATATTATGCAGATAACACAATCTTGCTTACTGAGATGGTGGAGGACTTGAACCATTTGCTGTAGAAGGTCAAGGACTGTAGCCTTCAAAATGGATTGAAGCTTAACAGCTTAACCTCAAGAAAAACATTCTTACCAATGGGTGAATTGGCAGCACCATGATAGAGGGAGAAGAGATTAACGTTATTAACAGTTACTACTTGTTCCGGTCCACAAACAACACTCTTGGCACCAGCAATCAGGAGATCCAAAGACAAATTGCTTTGGGTAAAATCTACTGTCAGACATCTTTCCAAAATACTGAAAAGCAATGATGTCAGTTTAGAGACTAAGGTGTGCCTAGTCCAGGCCATTGTCTTAACAGTTACTTGCTATGAATTAGAGAGCTAGACAGTGACTAAGGATGACAGAAGAAGATGGCCTTCGAGTTGTGGTGCTGGAGAAGAGTATTGAATATACCAAGGACTGGCAAGAAAACAAATAGGTCTGTCTTGGAGAGGGTGGAACCAAGTTTCTCTTTGGAGGCTAGAATTTTGAAGCTCCATCTCACATGAATTGAGCACTTGGCCAGAAGGGACTGGTCCTTGAAGAAAGACATCATGCCTGGAAGGGTAAAGGAACAATGCAGGAGAGGTAGACCCTGGATGAGATGGATTGATAAGAGAACTGGGGCAATGGAGGTTAGTGTGTCTTTGTCTTAGACTGGCTCAGGACAGGCAGGCTTCAGAGCAGCCGTACATAGGGTTGCTATGGGTTGCAGGCAAATCAACAGCACATAACAACAATTTCTGGCAAGATGATATGTATATGTTCATTTCACATATCAAGAAACTGCATTGTCAAAGACAGTTAAAAACTGTATTGTTAACTGTGTGTTAAATACTTAGCTTGCCCAAGTTATTAAGGTGTTAACACCACAGTTCTGCATTGTATACTTAATTAGTAATTGAGAAAAATACTTTAAGAACATGAGTTGATCCTTTCTTTGCCTAAATATTTCACCTAGTCTTTTCAATATCCACTTGTTCATTTAGGCAATGATTCTTGCCAAATATAAATAATATCTTAGAAATGTGAAAATTATATTTTTCTGACATTTCTTTAACATGTTTATTAGCTGTCACTTTTTTTTAAATTTTTTTTTTAGCTGTCACTTTTATATAAAGGCAAACTACTTCACTCTCTTTGATATCACATGAATTTTTTTTTCAGGGTAAAATAGTAAGGATGGATATATTGGAAAGAACATCCTCAAAGGGAAGGACCTCCCTCCATAAAAGGAAATATGGAGGAGAAAGGCCTCACATGATGTTTTTAAAATTGTAATCCATAACTAATAATACATTAAAGAGATTGACCAAAAGTAGAAAATAATTCTACTCTTCATAAGATGTTTTAGTTTTAGAGGGTACAGTTTTTCACTTGTATGTATTTATGTTAATAATGTCTTTCATTGCTTTTAAAAACGGTTTTTAGATAAATATTAGAAATTTTCTCATTTTTCACTTACGGAGATCTGGTGGTTTATTCCATAGGGTGTTGTACTGCTAACTCAAGCATGGCACCTACCTGGCAATTTGAATCCACCAGGGGCTCCATGAGAAAGATAGGCTGTCTTGTGTAATGTGTTTTAAAAACCCACTGGGAAAAAAAATTTAAAAAAAAAAACAACAAACCCACTGGAGGGTCAACTATGAATTGTTTTGATTCAAAAGCAATAAATTTGAGGATTTTAAAAATATAATAAATATTGGTAGGAAAAACCCATTATAAAACTGTCTTGATAATTTCAGAATTTAAAAGATCTCGAGTCCAAAAAATGAACATATTTTTAAATAGCAAACTCTGGTAGTCTAGTGTGTAAGGGGTTGGGTTGCCAACCTGACAGCGTGTGCTTCAATTCCACCAGCTCCATAAGACAGTTGAGCACTTGCCTCCCATGTTATTTATAGCCTCAGAAAATTCAACACAGGGTCAGCAATGAATTGATTCCAACTTGATGCCATATAACACGAACATTCTTTTAAATTAATCATCTCATTATTTTCCCTTCCATTTTGGCAAATTCTTCGCTACTTATTTGTGTTTATCTTTAACCCCCCTCTCTAGAAATGATAGTTTATTTTTTAATAAAATTTTTACTTTTAATTTCTATTTTAACAAATTTACAGAAAAATTAGATTTTCATTCATTGTTGCACATTTTACCCTTTTTTCCCTCCCTTCCCCCTCCCCTAGTTCACTTTTTTGTTTTTAATGTTCGTTCGTTGTTGCATAATTACTCCCCCCTTCCCCAGTCCTCTTTGCAATGTACCCATTATTCTGGGCTGTTGTCATAAGTGTAATGCCTGATCATATATTCCTTTTGAATAGTTCTTTTCTTCATCTGTTCCAATGCAGTATTCATTTATATATCCCCTCTATTTTTTAAAATCAAAATTATTAACTAAATATTTTTTCATGTATAAATAATTTTTATTCTGGACTTTAGATAATTTGTAAATATTTTAATTCACAGGTTGAATACACAAGAAAACAATATAAAGTACAGATTTCTCAGCTAACAGAAGAAGTTTCAGCCCTTCAAATGGTAAGTTAGAAGACACTATTTCTTTCTGAATATTGTTTATTTTAACAGTCAAAATACATACTTTTGAACATTGATTTTTTTTTTCATTCATTCGAGGTTATTATTGTTGTTATGTGCCATTGAATCAGAACTAACTCATAGTTGACCTTCAAGTGGGTTATGAGGGTCAGTATGTCACACAAGAAAAAAATTATACTTATTTCTCCCACAAAGCAGCTGATAGGTTTGAACTGTGAGTCTTTGAGTAGACAACACTACTCCTTACCACTGAACTACTAACAAAGAGTATTGCTTACTCAGAGCTCAGTGAGTTTTTTTTTTTTTGGGGGGGGGTAAATTTTATTTTTATTATTTATGTGTGTGTATACCTACCGTCAAATCAGATTTGACTGGTACAGGAGGAGATTTTTCCTCCTTCTACAGCAAAGCATCTGATGGATTTGAACCACTCATTTCTGGGATTGCAGTGCAACTTCTTGCCACTAGGCCACCAGAGCTTGCTAAAGCTCAGTTTTGTAGAGTCAGAACTGAATCATAGCTAACCTTCATTTGGATTTTTTTGGTTGTAAATACATGGGAGGAGATTGCCTCTCTTTCTCCTGGTGGAGCTCCTGGTGGAGCTCCTGGTGGATATGAGTTGCCCTTGTTGTTGTTGTTGTTGTCATGTGCCATTGAGTCACCATGGACTCATGACAACCCTATGTACAACAGCTCTAAATCCTCCTCTGCCTTTGCCAAGCTCACTGTCTCCAAAGCACCTATGCTCATTACCCTAGTCACTGAATCAATCCGTTTTATCAAGGGCCTTCCTCTCTTTCGCTGCCCCTCCACCCTCCCAAGCATGACATCTCTCTGCAAGGACTGGTCCCTTTTTGCAACATGAACTTCATTAGAGGTTAAAAATACAACTCCCTATGGACTATACCTCTGGAGTTCTCTAGACCAATGTTAGATGCTAGAAGAAGAGTGAAAATTGAAGATAACATGCTTTCTGCAGTCATAGAGTTTGTAGTCTAATGGGAAAGATCAGTGGCCTGTATTTGCTCGTTTGCTATAATTACTTGTCTTTGACACTCCTACCTGGAACTATAAAACAAGCAAGCAAGCAAGCAAATATTTTTAAAACCTTTAGGAAATTCATTTTTTCACTTGTGATTTTTAAAAAATGTTTTTATTGGTTTTCATATAATAATTCATTAACATTATGTTTCATTCATATACATTGTGTTTTATACAATCTTTCATTTACATTGTGTTTCGTACAATGATTCAGACACAGTCTGTTTTACTTTCTTTTTTAATAGCTCCATCTCTGGAAATCTTTGGTAAGAGACCAAAGATTTATAAGTTCCAGGGTGAAGCCTGAGTTTAGGAAATTACTTTTAAAAAATAATCCAAACTGTATTACCTGGAACAGTGTATCTGGTAGCACAGCAAAAGATTGGAGTTGGGATGCCCAGTCAGGGCAGTTTCTTTTTTGTCTGAGTGGTGGCCTAGGTCCCAAGTTGTTAGCCAAGTCATGAGTAGCATCTTCTCTGGTCTAAGGGTTTGTTGAGCCTCAGGCAGAGTTACTGCTGATCACTGAGAAGCATAGACTGGTCTGCGTGGCTGGAGAACATGTCTTTGTCAGTCTAAAAGATGAGTGCAGTCAGGGTGCCCATTCAGAGGTAGAGGGAACAGTCATTGCCAACCCGAGATGTCCAAGGAATGAAGTTGATACTTCATGATGGTGAAATAAACAGATGCTAGTTCAGAACCTCTGCACCTAAGGGACCAGAAAACAAAGACAACAGATATGGATTATAGTCCTGGAACTCACAGTTTAAGAAAAAAAGATAATGTTTGTTTTATGTGTTTTGCTGGTTTTTTATTTGGTGCATAGATATTTATTATTGTTATGTCCTCTTGTTCTATTGACCCTCTTTCAGCATTATGTAGTGACCTTCCTTGTCTTCTGTGATGGTTTTTGCATTGATATTTATTTTGTCAGAGATTAATATGGCTACTTCTGCTTTTTTCTGGTTGCCATTTGCTTGGTATATTTCCCCCCACCCTTTTATTTTTAGCCTGTCTTTATCTTCATTTTTCAGGTGTGTCTCTTGTAGACAACATATTGATGGATTTTGTTTTTTTTATCCAATCTGCTACTCT